TTAGTATGTTAGAAAATGGTGCATGATATATTGCTTATTTACTAGATAATTTTTTGCTCATGATTTGTATCAAGCTGCATTAGGGATGGTAACTGGAATTAAGATACATTTTGTGTGTTGTTTGATGTGTTTAAACAAAACAACCTTAAGTGTTTTGGATACATAAACTTCTTCTATCAAAACATGTTGCACATTTACAACTAGATGATTTATTAAAGGAACAGAGGGATTAACTGTAGTCAATTAATTAAACTGATTATTTCAGGTCAGAGTAGAAAACATTCAAATATGCCTAAGTGAAAGTGACTGGCGCTTAAGTGCCTATTCGCCTAAGTCTCTTGAAAATGAGACAAGAGTCACGTTACTTAAGCTGCCTTCTGAGGAGCATTTTTCATAAGGTTGTTTCATTCTGACAAACAGGCCTTGCATCTCTTTGCTATACAATTTACATTTGGCATGGGTTCCTTTTTACCCAGAGGTACAGGAATTTCTTGAAAATATTTCCAAATAGGGTCTTTTGTGACCTGCACCCAGGGCAGTCTCTTTCTCCTGTTCCCAGGTGTTGAAATGAACACTAGAAGCAGCACTCTGAAGAATGTGGTCCCTTCTTCCCATTGTCTTCTGCTTTGCCACCAGAGGCACTCCTTTCTAGTGGCACATTCTGCTCCTTCTCCCTTGTTACATAACTCCCCCACCATCCCACTCTACCCCAATCTCCCCCCACCAAAAAAAAAAGAATTATCCAAGATTTCTGCTCATGTAACCCACGTCTTTTGGCACTGCAGTGTTGAGAAAATCAATGGATTCCAGAAGGTTTGTATCTCTGCATACACAAGCAAAGAGACAGAGCGAGGCCATTTACTTCAAGTGCCCAGAACCATCCACAAGGAAGAACTGGTAGTTAGTGGGCAGATCAGTTTTCCCCATGATCTGGAGAGTAAATTTCCACAGTACGTGGAGTGACAAATATTCATAATTTGAGAACTGAGCCAATCAGAGCTCAGGTAGGGTGAAGCTATAAAACCCAGGTGGACTCAGTAGATGATCCTGAGGATGCTGTATCTTTCTTCATGCTGCTCTGTAATCCTGGAATAGTCTTCTTTCTATATGCCAGGAACTCCTCCCTCCCTCATGAAATACTCCTTCTATTTCCCTTGGAGAGCTTTGTGCATGTACTCTGGACAGCCACTTGTGTGCCAAAGACCAACATTCTGAACAAGCCAGAAAAAAAGAAACCCTAAAGAGCCAGAAGATGACTGCAATTGAATCTGTGTGTCATGGGGTTGACTCACCACTTGGGGTGCCTCTCCTGGCCACTCTGGGGATTAGCTCCTTCCAGGTCTGCGTCCCTCTTCTGCTGCTCATTGCATATCCTACTTCTGCTCTGTCTCTGCAACCCCAGTTGCTCTTTCTTCATGGAGGAAGGCCAAGTCACTATCCGTATTTCCCCCTTCTGGGGTATCAAAAGCCTTCTGCACCAACCATCTCAGGCAGTCTTCCCATGCACTGCCCCAATGATGCCATTTCATTAGTGGCCAGTAGGGGAAGCCTGGCCTGCCCACCCACTACTCCAGGTTCCAGTCCAGGGACCCTACACGTGGCAACTCTGGCCTGCTTCCCCTCAGACCCTGTTGCTGTTTCCCTGGACTCCTCCCTGCATCTTCTGGCTCCCCCCCCCCGAGTGTATCAGCTCAAACACCCTCCTCCTAGGGAGTAAGTGCAGACAAATGAACTCCATTGACCTTCAAACACAACTCCTCACTCCCAGGCAGTAACTACAGCCTCCTTCGGGACAACCCCTTTCTGCTGTCAACTTCCTGTCTTTATAAATCCAACCCAGCTCCTCCCCCAGCTGGACTTCATCAGCAAATTAGGCCTTAGCATAACCTGGCTTCCCTCCAGGTATGGCCTATAGATTAATTAGCCTAATTTACCCCTGTAGGCCTTGTGTGAGATGGACAACTCACCACACTGTACTACTCAGTCATATTCACATTATAAATACTACCATGTTCAATGCAAGGTACAGAATGATAGGCAGAGGAACAAGGTCAACTACTTGCTCCACCCAAAGTAATAGGAACTGAGTTTGTCAAAGTCAAAGGAAGATCCCATATATAAATATGGTTTCATTAAGAACAATGCAGATTCAATGGTTATAGCAGAATAGTCAAACAGGAAAAAAAAACCCTCACCTCATTATACAATCTGGATTTTCTATTGTCCTGAGAACAGTAGGAAAATGACAGCAAAATAAGGGCAAAATTATCCTCTCTGATCCACTAGCAAGGGGACAAGATCTATTTCCTTGAATGCATAGGTTCACTGTATATTCTAAATTCAGTACTCAGAACTAGCACCGACAGTAATGGGAGTTCAACGCAGGGAATGAGTGAAGACTGCACAGGGAGGCGCAGAGGGGAAAGGGCCTGGGAATGATGAGAGAAAAGATCCAGAAAGCCGATATGAAGGGAAGATAGTGATAATGATTTGTATTGCACTTGCTGGCAGAATAAGGATAATGCCCACTGGTTAGGATACTAGGCTGTGATCTCCAAGATCCAGGTTTGTTTCTCAGTTCTGCCACAGGCTTCTTGTTTGACCTTGGGCAAGTCACTTAGTCTCTCAGTGCCTCAGCTCCCCCTCCATACAATGGGAATAATAGCACTGACTTACCGTATGGGGATTGTGAGGATAAATACATTAAAGATTGTCTGGGGCTCATCCATTACAACAATAGGGGATGCCTAAGTACCAAAAACAACAAATAAGCTTCCAATTGGCTCATTGTATGCCCCAGTGTATCATGTTATTCCATTATTCAGTTTAAAAAACAAGTCATCAGAGTTAGGGCAATATTAAGTTTGACAACCAGGTCAGGACACAATAAAAATTAAACAAGTGCAACATTAAATCAGCCACACTCGATATTTTGATACTCATCACATGAACCATGTTGTATCCATTTTTGTTAAGGACTCTCATTACCTTCAGTGAGAGGTCTAGAAGCCAAATGAGGGCTGGATCTGACCCATGAACGAGATCTGACATCTTTTATTTATCCAGGAAAATAGGGATTGAAAATACTCCCTTTGTGACATGGTAATTAACATGCACAAAAAAAAAGGGAGTCCATTACACCAAAGACACAATTTCAAGCAATCATCTGGGCTTCCAAGCGCACCGCTCTGCCTGCCTGCCTGTTGAAGTGTGAGCTCTCGAAGCAGGGACAGTATTTTGTCTCTCATTCAGCCTTATCAGCAGATCTCAATAATTCCTTATTCCAGAGATAATGGGCTTGCAGAACCACTAAGGCCTGCTTTTGTACTGGCATAACTATATTGGTTAAAGGGTTGTGTTATTTATCAGTACAACCGCTTGTGTAAACGTTCCTTATACCAGTACAGTTTATTGCTATCTTCTTATACAGGAAAAAGTTATACTGATATAAACCATTTTATACCAGTACAACTGCATCCAAAGTATGTGGAGGTATTGTTTTAAATTACCAGCACAGCAAAACTGATCCAACTTGTCAGCAAATGAGGCCTTTAGCATCTTGCTTCCTTTTACAAACTCCATCATCCATTGCTCCAAGTGTCTGGACTTTACAAGCTCCATCTTCAGCAACTGAATTTATAAATTCCTGTAGCCAGACAGTTGTGCAGTTAACTAGCTACTCTCATATGCAAAATATATCCATCTTTTGAGTTTGTAGCTGACAGCTTAATGGTATTTTCTACTGTGCACACTCAGCCCTGCATTTCCAAAACATTTGTAACTTTGCTTTTTCAGAACAACGTTTTTCTTCCATGTGAACAGCACACATACCGCTCATTAAGGCCAACTCATGAGCCAAGTCTGAAGGGTCAAAGTGTTGATGTTTTTCAGTTATCTAAGCAAAGAAAATGATGAGATTCTTAAAAACAAAACAAAGCAAATACATGCTGGGAAGGTGTGTGTGTTTTCAGCCTCTGATAACTCAAGAAACAGATAAAGGGGTTTTGTTTAAATGTAAAAATTCACCTTCACATAGAGACTCTAGCTTTGAAAAAAAGTCTTGGTTTCATTGCCATGGGATTTTTAGTAAGAAATGGCTACTCTGTCACAATCTTTAAACAGTATAGGGAAAGCAGGATGGAAAAGGTTTTGGAACAGTCATTACCCACTCAGGCACTTTCCCAACAGAAGAATAACTCCTCTTCCTCTTTTCTGCTGTTGACTCCTTAAAAGGCCTAGGTAGTTATCCCTTCATTCTATGCTAACTGCACCATGGCTCTTCAACAAGCCAATCCCAGTCTACCTAGCTGGCTTTCCAAAGGGAAGCTCACATCACTCTCCTGCCTTATTTGGGAAACCTTCACTCTGCAAGGTCTTGGCACAGCCTCAATAGCCAAGGAACCTTTTGCGGACCTGGAGTTTTGACAAAGATTGAGTGAGACAGGCCCTTAAATAATGAGCCCTTAGCACCTGGTGAGAAACAGAAATAAAGAGGGGAATGCACGCTACCACGGCACCGTGAAAACACCCTCACGGGACTGGAGTCCTGGTTGGCAGGCGAGCCCTTCTCCAGGAAGACCACAAAGGAAACCCGTGCAGCGAGAGACAGACCCACAAAGGCACGGTAAAAGTTTGCACATAAGATGCACGAACTCCCGCACTTCGGAGCCAAGCAGGGCTGCGTTCCGTTCCACCGCTACTCTTGGCGCGTCCGCACCCCGCAGGGAGGGAAGGAGGCGGTGCCGTCCACTGATTGGCCTAAAGGCTCATACATATTCAAATTAGACAGCCCATTGAGCTTTCCAGGCAGCGCCGAACTTCCATCTCCCCGCCCCGGCGCTCCATATGCAGCGAGATGACCCGCGGACTGGATCGGCTGCTGTTGCATAGTCAATCAGCCCCGCCCCTCCAGGGCTGCCTGAGGGAGTGGGAATAAAGTCAGATAGCGGATCTGGCAGCAAAAGGAAAACGAGCGGGGAAAATACTCACAAGAAAGTTTCCTGCTAACTTTGCAGCCGCAGCAGCAGCTATGCCCGTGCGGTGCGGTGCCTCGGGGTTAGGGGGGCTCGGATCGCCTTAGGAAGGGGAGGGAGGGGGAGAGACAAAAGTGTGGGGCTGGCCGGATTCAAGCAAAATAAAGAGCAGCACCCCTCCCCCTAAGCGAGAAGAACCCAGCAGAAGCGCGTGGGGTGGAGAAAACATCCCGGGGAGAGCTGACCGGAGGCAGTGAGCGAGGAGAGGAGGGAGGGGGAACAGAGAGACCGAGGCAGGCGGCAGACTTTTGGGGAAAGATGAGCTTGTTGTCAGCCATAGACACCAGTGCTGCTTCTGTCTACCAGCCTGCCCAGCTCCTCAACTGGGTCTATCTGTCGCTGCAAGACACCCACCAGGCCAGCGCCTTTGATGCCTTCAGACCCGAGCCCTCTTCTTCCCAGCACCCCGATCTCAGCTACACCAAGAACAGCCCGGAGCTGGGCTCGTCCCTCAATTCCAGCTATCTGAACAGCTTCTTCCAGCTCCAGAGGAACGAGGTAGGTGCCTTTCCCTCCGTGCCTGCCGAGTGGGATCGCTAGGTTGGGTGCAATAGTTTCTCACACAGTCTGAGCTGAGCCAGGAGGGGGGACAGTATCTCTGCTGCCAGAGGAGCCGAGCTGCAATCTGTGATCGCTTTGCAAAAGAATCGCAGAAAGTTCACTCTGAAATTTAGCCCCAACCGCCATGATGTTTGAGAAGTTCTCCCATTTTTCTAGAGTTGGATTCCTGCTATTTTAAACAAAAGCTGTCCGGACCAAAGGGAGCCTTTGCTTTTAATAGTTTTTGTAAAGTACAGGGGGAGTACTTAAGAGCTGGAGAAAGAGTTCCCTTCTTTTAAGTCCGTGAAAAATAATCAGTGCAGGTTATTTAACCAGTAATCCCGGTTTGTCTCTCCAATTTCGGATCTTGCCCTAAAGCCCTCAGTTTTGTTGGAAATGGCTTTTTAATTTTCCAACCAGTAAAAATGCAGCTTTAGCCTGTAACTTTCTGCTGTTGCTGATGTTGCCAAGTCTGCGCAAATGAACCGTGCTCAGCATTGTGTTCAGATGGGAATGCAACCAAAGTTGTAACAAAGTTTATTTCACTTTCAGGTGGGGGGCGGGGGGGTGCGTGGGGGAAATTACCGTTTGCTTCTGTGGGGGAGGTATGGCCTATATTTAAATTATATATTTTTAAACCCCCTCCTCCCGGAGTGTGCTAGGCACACAACTTCTGTTGACAATCTGGTAAACGATTACACTGATTTATTTGCATTGCTATCACGGAGCTGAACCAGATACGGTAGAACAACTAATAACGGGAGGGGGTGGGGGAGGAAGAGGGGAAGGGAAAGGACAACAAATACATTGTAACATTTTAAGTCAGTGAAATTACTGAAGTTCAAAACATCCCTCTCATGCTTAAAAATAGGACTGGAAATAAACTGGAAATACAGGATAACATTGTTAGATATAGATCTTGTTTAAATAAATACCTTGCAGATGGTAGAACTGAAGCTGAACATTTTAATCAATAATGATGGGAGACTGAAAATACTGGGATTGTTTACTTTAGAAAAGAGGTGAAGGGATGTGATAAAAGTACATAAAATAATGGTCTACAGTAGAATCTTCTGTTCTCCCTGTCTCATACCACAGAAAAAGGAAACAGTCAATGACGTTAAAAACTGATAAAGGAAAAATGTTGTGTGGGGAAGTATTTAAACTGTGGAACTCACTGACACATGGAATCCTGAAGGCCAAGAACTTAATATTTAAAAAGGGTTTGGCAATTTATATGAGTATCAAGAATATGGCAAAAATTGTGAAAGAGATATAAAACCTCCTGTTTCAGGTTTTAAGACCCTCTCTAATTACTAGCGATCAGGACAACACCTAATGTGGTGTCATTCTTGCACTTTCACCTGATGCTGGCCACTGTAGAAGACAGGATACTGGAGTAGATGGACATTGAGTCCAATACAGTATGGCAATTCTTGGGTAATGGAGTTTCAGAACATTCCTGAAGCCTATTTAAACTAAGGAACAGGTTAAAAGGAGCTCCCACTTTAAAGTATAGGACTCTTTTTTTATTTTGGCAGAGGAACCAAAGCTAAGGAATCTTCAATTAAAGTCAGCAGCCAGTTTTTGGCATAATTTTATTAATGGGTTACTAGTGATGCGATTAAGAACCACCACCAAGGAAACAAGTTTAAAAATCAGTCAGCTTCATTTAATAATGGAATGTTTTGCAGAAGCCCTGTAGTCCCAAATGGACAAGTCTGCTATTTTTCAAAGGACGTTATTCAACATTCAGAAGTTCCATGTCCAAATTCTTATTCAGTGTAATTCCTTTGAAAAGGTAAAAAATGCAGAATTCAAAAGCACATTATTCTGTTAGCAAAGTCAGCAGGCAGTGGGAGTCAAACACAGAACTGCACACCTGTCAGTTCCAAGTTGACAGATATTGTCATTTTGCATTTGAGTTGCACACATTCTGGTTTCGAGACAGAGCTAAGAATCCAGAGTTTCAGTCTTTGTAGTCTTTCTCATTAGGGGGTTGATAACACTGTGCAGCTCAGCATTTGCTAATGTTAGAATCCATTCTGTTTAGAGTCATTTGTTTTCCCCCTAATGTAAAACTAGCCAACAGTAATGTGTGGTTGCAGCTAGGGAGGCTGGGAAATTGTGTCCCAGGAACAGAGCCCTTGGTGGAGATTTTTGGTCTTTCTAGGGTTCCCTCTTTCTGTTCCCACTCTACGATTTGTAACTAGGGATTCATCCTTCTTTCTATCAGAAACCTCACCCTCTGCCTTCTGGGAAATATTTCTCTCCAGTTCTTTCTCTACATCCAAAACCTATTCTCACCAACTCTACTTCAAGGCTCAGTCCCTAGGTTTACTAGGCCACTTCCAGATGGCTGCTTCTGTTGTATGTTGCAAACCACAACTTTATCAACCCCATCCTCACTAAGCACTCATGGTGAGTCTGACAGCTACATTTACCTATGCTACATGTCTGCTAAGGCCCCCACTCAGGTAGGGAACATGTAGATGCAACTGTGTTTTACTCCTTTCACTCTTGTAACAACTTCCTAAAGCACTTCGTTCACATCAGCTGAGAGTGCGAACACTGTACAAAGTCTGTAGGATTCAACATCCAGGTAACATGGAGCCATGATTCCATGAGGATACTTCATATTTACAGAGGATCAAGCTTGTTTGCAATTTTCACAAATGCATTCTCCTGTTTCTAGCTGCAATTGAGCAGAGCATGCGGTTGATCTGAGGCACTTTTTAATTTTCACATTAGTGTGTCTATTGTACTTGTTAATCAATAATTTGCACTTCTACAGCATCTTTCATTTAAGAATCGCCAAAGAATTTAGACATGCTGTAGCTCAAAAAAGCTCAAGTCGATACACTTCTCCACTCGGTCCAGAAGTTGGAAGCTTGAATGTTTCTTGGCAGGAGAGACCCCAAGAGGATTTCTTCCAATGTCATATTCTTAATTCTTGAAATTCTAATGTCTGTTTTTGTCAACAGTTTCAAATGCCATTAAGTACATACTTAGTAAGACTGTTTACAATTATTTTTGGGAGTAATGGTGCCGTATATTTCTTTTACATCAAGTGGGTTCGTGTGATGCCTTTGGAACACAAATAGCTTTCCAAAGTTAAACTGTTAACTGTTTTTAATATAGTGCTTACTTTGGTTGGCGTTTTTTCCTCCTAGTTTTGAATTGGCTTGGCTTAGCCTCGGGCTGAGCTGTGACAATGATTGACGCATAGCTTGTACACAATATTTGGAAAGTGACCTAATGAGAGGCCAAAATAGCAACAGATTGAGAAATGACAGGATCATAGGGAATATAATAAGCATGTGTACACCATGTTGTCGTGCAGTTGAAAAATTTTCAGAGGAGATTGCTTGGAAAAGTAGACAGCTCATGAAAAGTTGCTATTATACAGGACTTGCAAGTCTGCATGGCAGTGCCTGTGTATGTGACTTGCATGCTGACCAAAGGAACTGGACAGAAGAAAATGCCAGTATCCACAAAGTACTTTTGCACTTAACCAAGATTTTTGTCCTCCAGACTTTTTTCCACTACACTGGATGCCTTCTAGATAAACATGATGAATACAGCTGTTTGGTGCATAAAAGCTCCTTGTACCAACAAAAAGGCAACAATAAAGGTTTAAACAGTACATTGACAATGAATGTTTTGTTCCATCTGGGAGACTCATTTTACAAAACAGACCTGGTTTAAATAAAATTTTACTGGAGCATTTATTGCCCAAGATATGAAATAAAGGCATTTTGGAACACGACGATGCTATTGAACTCAACTTAACTTTCATTATAACCTCGTTCTTTGGAGCCAAGTATTTGAAGTTTGTTGTAGGGTTGCTTACAAGGGATTTAATGTATTTGAGAGTCAGCAAGGTAACTGTGTCAGTAAGTGGCATAATTGAGAAACCTAGGATAATGGTGTGGCAGATTTGTATGTTGTTTTCCATACTCACTTTCAACAGGCTGCCTACCAAATTGGTACAGAATTTGGTCATGTAGTAATAGCCACCATTATGTAGGGACATGGGGTTTACATAACAAACTTGACTTATCAAGTTCAGTGTCCTAACTCCAGCAGAGGCCAATATCTATACTTGAGAGGAAGCACCATGTCTTTACAATACACCATCATGTCTTTACTATACACAACCATTTGTGCAGTGCTGTACATGGCACTGGAGAGAGGGGAATTCCTTCCAGTAGCCTCTGCAACAGCCCTGCTACATCTGGTCTATTTACCGTTTTTTTAACATGCATAACTGCAAGTATTTACTGATTATAAAAGTGTAACTAGAGGATAATTTGATACCCTGTGACCTCCCAGATCAAACTTCTTACTGACAAGGAAGAACTAATTGGTAATGAGAAAACATGAGCTACACGAATTCACCATTGTAAGGAATGGATTCACCAATTTCGAAAGGCAGTTTATTTGGGAGGAGGCAGAGGAATTAAGAAATCTAATGGTTGTCCTGTGGGAAGTAGTACTAACACCTATTGTAATGAAAGAAGGCTAGATGGCTGAAGACCACCAGCCCATCCTCACATTAGTGAGGTTTCCAAGAGAAAAGGGCTAATGTAATGAAATTAACAGGTAATATTAAACTGGGAAATGTGAATGACAGTGAGGACAGAGACAATACAAAGGTACTTGAGGCCCTGTTTGCTTAAAATCGCTCTATTTTTTTCTACCTAAATATCAACTTTACTTGCCTCAAATCAGCCTGTATGTGCCTAAACAGAGATTCAGGTGCCTAAGTGTGGCTAACAATATGAGCAGAAAGTAACAAAATGAAATTAACTATCGTAAAAGGTAAGTACATATACACCGGGAAAAGACACTCCCATGCACTGATATTCAGTGGGAGGAAGAAATATAGGCATGATGGGGACAGTAGATCAGATGCAAACTGAAAATGTTACATGGCAACAAAACAAAACAAAAAA